CCCTCCACCTCTTCAGCTTATGCCACAACCTGTGCCTGTGCATTCACTTCCAGGCCAGCTTCCAGTGATCTCTCAGGTGCAGACAAACTCTGGAAAAAACATGACTTCCTCTTACTCACCTGCTGCAGCCTCACACCCCCTCACTTCTGTAACACCCGCTGCTATTGGCCCTGTACCGAGCCTCCAGCCATCATTCCAATCTCTTCCTCTGAGACCTTCGTCTGGCAGCGCTGCAGGAGGTTCACAAGTTCAGGTTAAAGAGGAGCCTCTTGATGAGATGGAGGAGGCTGAGAGCCCACCGTCTCCACCTCGAAGCCCCTCACCAGAGCCAACCATTGTCAACATGGCAAGTCATGCCAGTCAGTCTGCACGGTATGTTTGTTTGTTTGTTTGTTTGTTTTTTTAAAGTCAGTATTTATGTAAAATTGCAAAAAAACAATCCAGGTTTTACTTGACAGGTGCAGTAAAATCACCCAAGAAATGTCAGTCCAGCATTTTTTTTCTCCTTTTAAAAGATGTTTTGACCTGTGAGAAAAATATGTTTCCCTTTCGCGTTCAGCACTTCTGTCCGAGAAATGTCTGAGAACAATAAAGTATATCTCATCTTTACTCAGCTGAGAAATTCTCCACTAGGCTCATTATCTCCTCTCTGAACTTGCTTGTCTGATATTTTTTGTCCTGGGCAATCAGTGTGCAGTGAATTTTTACCAGCCACAATACAATAGCTGGTATTGTTTTCATCTTTTCAGTGTGTTTGTGTCAGCAAATAGCATCACAACTCAGTATGATGCACTTGTTAAACTATGCAGGAGCGTAGCTGAGATAAAAATCAAAGTCCAGTGCAAAGGGTGTGTGAGAGTCTGTGTGATGTAAGTCTCTGTGATCTCAAGATGGCAGTATTTTTTCTTAAGTTTTATATTTTATTGTTCTTTACACCGATTCTTGAAGCTTTAAACAAAAAGATGTGTGAGAGCAATGACACCTAAAAGAGTGAAAGTATTGGAGCAGAGTCAAAGAGCTGAACAATGCAGCTGAAATGGACTGTAGACTGTGGTGGTAATTTTATGTATCAATACAAGTCACACTTTTCATATACAAGTAGTCATGGGAACTACTGTTACAGTAGCTGCTTTAACCGTGGGCCAGTTTGCAGCACATTTTGCTTTTCCACCAGTCCCAAAAGATGTGAAAAGAAAATACCTCAAGTTGACTGGATGTATTTCTGTTTGTCTCCAGTCAAAATTTATATTTTGATATTATTAATTTGTTGTAAAGCGTGACAAAAAAATTGAAAACACCATAATTGGCAGGATAATAAACTCACACCAACCCCTCAGCTAGTCTGGAAGTTCACACAAAATGATTCATTCTTCGACTAGAACTTAAGTTGATCCAAAATGCCCTTCAAATGTTTCACCAGGCTTTTAAATCTACTAATGTGTCTGAAGCTCTTTGTATTGGGAGACTTAGATCAAAATCATAACGTCTACTTTTATTTTCATTTCCAGATAAGTGATGAGCATAAACAATCTTGTAATACTGGTTCTTGATAAAGTTTCTTAATAGCTGAGAGTAATTTAATAAACATACATAAATGAGTTTCAGGTTAAGTGAAGAAAAATCTCAATGCGTCATTTAAAGAACAAACTAAAAATAGATATTTTTGCAAGCAAATCAACATTAAATGAGAGTGTTGTCTAAATTTCATTAGACTTTGCGTCTATAATATAAAAGCTAAACTTTTTGAATGATTTGTAATGCAGTTTTGTGCACATGAAGCTGATACTCAGTGCTCATAAATGCATATCTGTTAAATATTTCAGGTTTATCAAGCACTTGGATCGTGGCTACAACTCGTGTGCCAGGACAGACCTTTTCTTTACTCCACTGCCATCCTCCAAGCTGGCCAAGAAAAGAGAGGAAGCTGTGGAAAAGGCCAGGAGAGAAGCTGAGCTCAGTGCTCGACAAGAACGGGAAAGGGAGAAGGACAGAGAGAGAGAGCGAGAAAGGGAGGCCGACAGAAGTGCTGTAAGTGCAGTATTCTTTTAATTTCATTTTTCCCTTTTTTGTTACATAAAACATGTCAACAGTTATCTCTCATTTGCTTACAGAGAGCATCCAGCTCCTCTCATGACAGTCGTATGAGTGAGGCTCAAATGGTGGCTCAAGGCCACGGACGCCCCTCCTTTGAGCAGCCGCCCACCACAGTAGCAGCCGTTCCTCCCTACATTGGCCCAGACACACCTGCCCTGCGCACCCTAAGCGAATACGCCCGACCCCATGTCATGTCTCCCACCAACCGCAACCATCCTTTCTATGTGTCCCTGACCCCTGGTGACCCTTTGCTGGCCTATCACATGCCTGGCCTGTACAGTGCTGAGCCTAGCCTCAGAGAGCGTGAGCTGAGGAACCTCAGAGAGAGGGAGTTACGCGAGAGGATGAAGCCTGGCTTTGAGGTCAAACCCCCAGACCTGGAAACCTTGCACCCTGCTGCGAACCCTATGGAGCACTTTGCAAGACATGGGCCATTAGGTCTTCCTCACATACCTGGGCCCCCACATCCCTTTGCGCCGTTCCATCCTGGGCTGAACCACCTAGAGCGTGAAAGAATGGTGTTGGCGGCACCTCAGCTGCGCCCGGAGCTGACTTACGCTGAGCGACTCACTGCAGAGCGGCTTCACGCTGAGAGGATGGCTTCAGTGGCGACTGATCCTGCTGCCAGGCTGCAGATGCTTAATGTTACACCCCATCATCACCAACACTCTCACATTCACTCCCACCTCCACCTGCACCAACAGGACCCCCTCGGTCAAGGTGAAGTTAATTATTCAGCAGTATTCAACATATCAAGGTCTTAATATTACTTTAGCTTTTTACAATAGGTCTTTCTTTTTTCTTCAAACAGGCTCAAGCCCTCATCCACTAGTGGATCCTCTGGCAACAGGACCACGTTTGGCCCGATTCCCTTTCCCTGCAGGCCCAATCCCCAACCCTTTACTTAGCGATCTTCCTCATGATCATGAGATGCTGCGCCACCCACTATTTGGTTTGTAGTCTTTAATGTACTCAGTCACAGACCACATCTTGACTCATTTCTAAGTTCCACTGGTTCACTGTGACCTTGTTTAAATTTGAAAAGGAGCAGCGTATCCACGAGAGCTGCAGGGCCCAATTCCTCCGATGTCTGCAGCTCATCAGCTTCAGGCCATGCACGCTCAGTCTGCAGAGCTGCAAAGGATGGCAATGGAGCAGCAGTGGCTGCACGGGCATCACCTGCATGGAGGCCCTCTACCAGGTCAGGAGGATTATTACAGGTGAGCGCTCTCTATTCAGTCACTTTAGTAATTTGAATAATAAAATGCTCTATCTGAAATCACGTTTGACCATTTAACTACGCAAGGTACAAATTGAAATGGTACTTTTCAGTGGTACTTTTACATTATTTGCCAAAATGTCCAACATGCAGTCAACACTGCTCAGGGGAACTCATGACAATTGTTACACATCATTGCACCATCTAACTCTTTTTCTGTTTGTCAAAAGCCGTCTGAAGAAAGAAGGTGACAAGCCATCTTGAGTCCAAGGAGGTGCATGCCCTGAAACTCTAAACTTTTACCCAATACTGTGTACTTTTGAAACTGTAAGAGAATATTTTGTGTCATTTTTGTTTGTTTTAATATATTTTAGAAAAATATTTGTGGATCTTTATGTGCATTCCTTGTTCAGCACTTAATGCGACTGTCAAAGTCCGTCTGAGATTTTCATATCACTAGAAAATTTATACTACTTTATTATTATAATATTCAACACTGATAATAATAGCATTATTAATAATAATAATATTATTATTCTGACTCTTATGTGAGATTTAAAGTGACTCTAAAAAACTTGTTTGTTATGCAGTCACTTAAAAATGAGCTAAAATTCAGCTCTTATAAAGGATATGAAAACAGACTGACTTTGGTGTCAACTATAACTATCTCTGTAATGATTTCTAAAAGATTTCCTTGTACAGAATGACATTTAAATCAATGTGTGGATGATTGTAATAACCTAGCATGACTCAGTCTTCAGTTTTCACCAAACTAGAGTAGCAAGTTGCATTGTGGTGTTTAGCCTTTGAAAGCATAGTAGAGGTTGTATGTACTCCTAAATCTGCTAAATATTTGTTTAAATCCGAAAGTTTTATATATCAAGATATCTTTTCACACTATAACCGAAGCTTTTATTCACTCATTTTTGAGATTGTACCTATATGAGCGAGTTGATATAACAGTAGTTGTGAACACTCGACCCTTGATCCAGCACAAAAGTAAGTCATAAGCTAAAAACAGTATATAGTATTATTAGTTGCAGTGACTATAATTGGACCATGATCTGTCTTTACAGACAGTGTTTTAATTGATTTTATTAGGAAAGCGTATTTACAGTTTTAATGAGAACAACTTAATTGGATCGAAACTTCAGCTTGAACATTTTTAAAAAGAACTGCCCAAATTCAGTATTTATGTGACATGATATGAAAGTGTATCCATGACATATTTATTTCAATAAATATTTCTGAATTGACACCATGTCCTATTTGCATTTCCTGCTCTTCCTTTTTCCCCGAAGAGACACTAAAAGTATAGTAGAGGGAACACTATTGTGACAGTTCAATGGGAGCTCCTGTTTTCATGAGCTTATTGTCCCCCAATGCTGACACATGTTACAAAAACAGAAAATGGTCCACATTAATTTTCAGTACTTGAAATACTCACTTTGGTTAAGGCAGTTAATTCTCTTACTGTGTTCCCTCAGACACCTTCTAGGGAGTTGGCACGTTATAATCCATCCAGAGTCCAATCCAGTGTGTCACAAAATTGCCAATCTCGCATACAGCTCCACCAGGGCTGATGTGCATGTGTGAAAATGTCTTAGCACAACCATTCTGCAGCTAATTTTACATTTCTGGAGGTTGTGAAGTTCAGCTTGTGTTCAGACAGAGGAAAAGGCTCTCATTCTTGATTTGATTGCATTTAATCATTTGTGGCACTAAAAGCAAATCACATGAAGTGTTTTGACAACAACCATTTACATGAAAATCTTTGAACAAAATTGTCACTTCACAAGAGCAACAAGATAAATTTGAGACACTAAAACCAACTAAACATAAATTGTTGTCTTTTGTGTTTTGTTGAAGGTACTAATGAGAAATTCGTTTAGCTTGAAATTTGTACACCCGCAGGATGTGACATCATCATAGGAGATCTTGCCCTGACTTTTTAATCATTTTAAACCAACATCTCCCCACTTGTGCCTCTGTGCCCCCCTACCTGATAACAAAAGCAAGAAGAAAACAAACAATTTTGACACTAAACCAGTTTATTTATTTTAATTTACCCAGGATTTTTCACATCTTTATACAATAATAAGCTGAGTTAACCTTATTCAGCTGAATAATTTCATCTTGTGGAAAATGTTTGAAAAAGATCCCCTCTAAACACCTCTTAAATCACACAGTGTGCAATCATACACAGACGTGACTTTGTCTTAAGATTCTCTCAAACAAAGACATTTGCGAGCCACCGTTTGTATTCAAAGCTTTTCTGTCACCTATTTAACCTTTCCCTACAACATACAGCAAAATACATATGAGACATCTACAGCAAAACCTTTCTTCCTCCACACAGACAACCACTTACACTCTCCATCTGGTCAAAATTAAGCTGCTCTGACATTATGCAGCTGTGTGTTTTAGCACAACAAGACATTCAAAGTGGAAGGTGGTGAGCAAATCTAAAATGTCTAGTTATGGTCCTTGTATCAACACAGACCTACCCAGAAGTGACACACTGAAGTTAATAAAACATTAAAATGCCTGATATCGCTGTAAAATCTCTGCTTTGTGGCTCTAAACTGCATTGTTGTTCTTTCACACTGAAGCTATAAATTCTGAATATCTTTGTCATCTTTGTCCATACTTGACCTAAAAATTGCACCAGAACAACTGAGGCTGGAAACAACTTTAATTTCTCTCAATTCATGCCGGGCTGCAGCTTTAAACTTTGTGTATGCACTTTAACTGTAGACATTTTGCAAAATATAAATACAGTGGATTTCTTTTTATCCATGGACCCAAGTGAGAATGGCTGGAAGTAGTTTGTTTTGTATGTACATATCAGAATTCAGGTTGAGGATTCCTCTTCTTCACATACTGCCGCAGGTACCGGATAGCTGATAGTGCACTCAGATTTGCTAGTAGAGCTGAAAAAGATTTCCATGGTTATTTTGAATTTCAACTTTTCATGTTTGCTCACCTAATACACAAACATGTGACAGGGAAAATGTTTAATGTTTTAAGGCAAAAGTTATTTTCCTTACTAAAATTGCCAAAACTTCATAATAAAGCCTACAACTAAAGATGCAATTCTCTAGTAACTAAATGGAATTTCAGTGTATTTGATTTGAAAATGGAACGTGATTAAATTTGCCTACAAATACTTAAAAGTAGGTACACTAGAATAAGGGGGTACAAATCAAGTGTTTAAAGGAAAAAAATAAATAATTAGACTGTAAATAACGTAAGTAATTTATAGTTCAAGAGTAATTGTAAGTATTGCATAACTTCAGGTATGTTACAGGGAAAAACTAATAATTGTAAATAAATGTAAGTAATGCCTAGGTACTTTTATGTATTGCTTAAATTTTGGGTAGCTTACAGAAAAGGAGACACACATTATACTATAAGTAATTCAAAGTACTTTATAATTAATTTTAAGTACAAAACGATATCTCCCCATACGTTCCCTTTACGTTGTAAGTACACTGTGCTTTTTGGGGCACGGGTCATATTATGAAGTTGATTAACTTTGCCTCACTTTCAACAATGTTACAGGAAAAGAGACACAATTTGTACTGTAAGTGATTTAAAGTACTGCATAAGTAATTTTTAGTAGTGTGCAATTTAATTGTAATTTATGAAACAAACCATATTTCCCCTCCTTACATCATAAGATCAATCTTGCGCCTTTTATTTTACCAATATAAATACAATAAGGTCTGTTCTTCCTTACCAACTTACATAAAAAAATAAAAACGTGATTTTTCATAATCACAATTCAAACATAACTATCAAAATGAGTGTACAGTGTCTTCTTATCTATATAGTACCTTAGAGTTGAGCCTCTCCATAA